TTTTAATTAGAATTTATTGAGAAATTAATAAAAAGATATAACCAAAAATTATAATTATAATACCATAATTGAAATAGTGGGAATATAAATAGTAGGAAAAATTAATGACATTGAAGAGAATATATCTTAAGAGAGAATAAAAAAATCAAGCATATCCTTTTCTTAAATAATGAATTATACACCAAGAAGAAAACAAAAAGATTAGAAAAAAATTGTAACCATACAAATAGTTATTATACTATGTATTGCAGTTCTATGTTTTTATTTTTCATAAATTTTAAGTATCTATGCATATTTCTTCAATTTAATGTATCATATTATAATATTAAAATGGATTTTATTAGAATATTAAAATAAGAAGTGAAAAATAAGAATATGAAAAGATAAAAAGATAGAACTCATATTATGAAGTAGAGTTATTTACATAATTTATTTTTTTATAATTAAAATAAAATGACGAATAAGGGAAAGTATTTAACAATTTTTTTTTACATAAGTCTTTACCAACTCGTTTTTCTATAATAGCTTAATTTATAAAATTTTATTTTATGGTTTTTTTCTTATCCTTTCTATTATTTCCAATTTCCTATCATTTTTTCCCATCCTATTCTATTCTTTAGCTTGTATTACAAACCATTTTGAGGTGTTAATATAAGTACTCAAATCAAAATTACAAAAAGAAAGTGATTAGAATGAGATTTTTAGTACAATTTAATTAATGTATATTCCCAAATATATGTCGCAATAATATTGGATATATATACAATCTAGAAGGAGTGTGAAGTAGAATTTATATTTAAAAGAACTAAAAATTTAATAATAATTGAATGAAATACAAAACATAATATTTTCTTGCAAAAACAAAAAAGTATAGTCTATTAAATTCATACCTTTCTTGTTCAGTTTAGTATATGAATTAACACTTTTATTGCTTTAATTAACTCCAATCCTATGAGTAAAGTTCTCTCATTAACACCAAAAAAAAAAAAAAATTCAAACCATTAATAATCTACAAAGAAAAAAATGTATAAATTTTAAATAGATAAAAAGAAAAAAATGCATAAATTTGAAACAGGTAAAGTTACAAAATTCTTTCAAAAGAACAACATCATATGTTTTATAAAAAAATTCATAAAAAGGAATAATACGACTAATACAGAAAATAGTTGATACAACAATATATATATATTTTTTGGATAAAAATATAATATTATTTTTAGGTATAATATGAAATAGGAAATAGAAAGAAAAATAATATTTAGAACTCTTTATGTTAGAAAAAAGAAATTAAAGAGATGAGAAAAAAATATGATATATTGATGTAGAAAAAAGTGAGAGTTTATATATATGTGAATAAGAAGATGGGAAGGCATAGAGAAAGATTATTTAATATTTTATGTAATATTTTATTTTTTCATTTTTGAATATTTAAATGACATTGTCTCTTCATCTCTCATTCCCCGATCTTTTTATCCATCATATGTCTTTTTTTACATTTAAATATTTTAAAAGTCTTAACTTTATTCGTATCCCCCTCTCAAAGGGCAATAGTTTGAGTCGGCCCATAATTAAATGTTCAAAAAAAAAAAAGTCTTAACTTTATCTTTTAACCTCTATAATCTCAACTTTTTCATCTTCCATTCCCTGATCTTTTTATCCATTCCCATGCCTTTTTCTACATTTAAATATTTTAAAAGTCTTAACTTTATCTTTTAACCTCTATA